TACCCCTAAAGTGACTGATTTGGGATTTTCTTTTACCCCTAAAGTGACTGATTTGGGATTTTCTTTTACCCCTAAAGTGACGTATTAACTGCATTCTAAACTCAACCGACAGAGTAACATAAATATTACTCTATATTTTCACAGACATCTCCTTTAATGACGAACCAGATGTCTTTTTCTGTTTTGGATTTTGACGATACGTCTGTGTCTTAGGCCCGTAGAAGGCCTCTCAAGTATATGCCCACTCCCCAGTAATGGTATATTACTGCACTGGTTGTATAGATATCTATGGAATATAGTCTACCCCATTGTGCGAGATAGCAGGTGACCTTACAAGAAGGTTTATTTTCCCTTTGACAGGTTTTGTTTTTGATCCTGTTGCGTGTCCAGCCATTCTCCTCATAAAAAAACCCCCAAAAACCAAAAAAAAAAAATTAGTAGGGAAACTATATGACATGTAGTATTGTGTTACGTGGTTTCAGCAGAGTATGTAGAGTGTGTGTAGTGATTTCCCAAGCGTATCTTAGATGTGGCACAAGGCTGAAAGTAGGGGGCCGTCAGTGAGGATCGAACACTCTACTCAATCGTAATTGTTCTAGCGATACAAGCTTGCTAACCATTACACAGCCTCGAGGTGCCCAAAGTGATTTTCTAAGCGTAGCTTAGATGTGGCACAAGGCCGAAAGGATCGAACTCACAACTCAGTCGTAAATGTTCTAGTGAGGTATGCTTGCTAACCATTAGACCACTTCAACGTGTCCCATGCAGAGTGTATGTATTCGAGTAATTAAAAGTTTTATGCATAAACTTTAATGAACTTGTTATCAACTGCCAAATTTGATGTCATCTGAGACACTATTATTTAACCCCAGAAAAAATGGTAAAAAATTCTTAAATGTCTGCATCATGGAACAATTTGAAAATGAAAGTTCACCTCACAACTTTATGATTGGACTTTTCTACTAAGACTCTATGAGTTGGTAAGTGTTTTGTGCTTCAGTGAATATTAGCAATCCGCCCTAAGCTAGTTGGGTTTTATTAAGCATGTCCTCAACAATAGAACGAGAAATAAGGGTATATTTCATCACCAGAAAACATTAAACACTTCAAATAGCCCGATGTAATAATAATAAATTTAATCTAGGAAATAAGGAAATTGAATGTAGAATAAACTCTACTAGGGGCAGTTTCGTCCAATACTGCAGATTGCTACAAAACTTATCAAATCGCGAAATCAAAGTTATCCTGAAAGGCTACTCTTCTGGATCCTTTGGTAATAATGCAAATGTCTCCCAGGGATCTATCCTTGGACTTTATTTTTAATTTTCATCAATGATATTTCTGATGGTATCAGTTATCAACTTGGTATCTATGCTGATGGTACAACCATTTAAATCTGCCTCGATAGTAAGTCTGATCACTTCAATAAATTCAATTTGGAGGCTGATCATAAAACAACTTACAATCTGCTGTTAACTGTGGCAAGGAATGAGTTGTTAATTTGAATGCCTCCAAAACGAAACTACTCTCTATTAATCATCTGAGAGAGCCCTTTCTGCCTTCCAGCCGAGTGACTCGTTGCTTATTCTCGGGCTAGCATTCTCAGTTGACGAGAAGTGGAAAGATTTTATTGAATCAATTGCTAGGTCTGATACTAGGAAAGTTGGTTCATTGTGTCGTGTTAAACAATTTTTCTTTCCTGAATCTATCTTACATATTTATAAGTCTTGCATTCGCCCTTGCCTCATTGAATATTGCTGTCATATCTGGTTTGGTGCTTCTGCTATGTATTTAGAGAATCTCTCCAGAATCTATCTTACCTATCTATAAGTCGTAATTCATCCATATATTTAATACTAGCAGTAGCGCCCAGCGTTGCCCGGGCATGTAACAGTAAGAGATAGATCAAGTATCGACCATCATAAAAACTGAAAAAAAAAAATTGACAAAGATTATTGTTTAAGGTTGACGGACACGCATGTCTTAATTTTTTTTTTTTTTACGAATTGGTCAAACCCAAACTCAAACAAATTTCAATCGTTATGAGTCTATCGATTGAATAGAATTTTATTATAAACAATTGTCTTGTAAATGGAATTTTTAAAGCATTCTGAATGTAAAAATAAAGAAAAACGTGTGCAAGACAATAAGAAACACTACCTGCCAAAAAAAAAGTGAAGTTTTGTTGAAATCGGTTGAAAAATGTAGGAAATCCGATCCCATATATAAACGAACACACACACACACACACACACACACACACACACACACACACACACACACACACAACCTGGGTTTTATAATAACTATAACTCGATATGAGTTGTCCCCCTTTCATTCTCGCGATGCACTTAATCGTGTTTTTAAATTGATTTCGTACAAAAACAATTGTGTTTTTACAATTTTTGGCACTGTCAGAAACACCACAAGGTAATTTTACGTAGTCCTGTGAAGTTTTGTTGAAATCGGTTGAAAAATGTAGGAAATCCGATCCAATATATAAACGTACAGACACACACAACCTGGGTTTTATAATAAGTATGATTACTGCCACATATAGTCCGGTGCACTTGCTATATATTTAGAGATTCTTGATAAAATCCAAAGAAGAATCGGCAATATTATTGGTCCTGACTTGGCGTCTCGGCTTCAATGACCTTACCCCTCCGCCGTAATGTATCTTCCCTGTGCTTTATCTATAAATATTTTCATGGTGTAGCGCGAGTTCTATTTGAACTCGACAAGCCAATTACACTTTGTGCGTAGACAGCCGCACATCGCTGACGATAGACTGCTTATGTAAATATATCCGGAACATTTTCCTTACATCAGTCTTGAAAACATTGATTTGCATCAGAAAACCAGACACAGTGAACGTCTGCTACGATATTATGTAATCTAAGCAATAGCACAGACCAGAAATAAATGCCGGGACTGTTTAATTAGTTAGCATTTAATGTAAATATTGCCGATCTGTTTTGAGCCTATATGCGTCATTCATGAAATAAATGACATGGTTAAGTAGGCATGTCTCTTCCACACTCAGCACTGAACTTGATACTACTGCCTACTTCAGAATAAAAAAAATACCACTTTAACAATTGCATAATGCTGCTATGTCATACATACATACATATATATATATATATATATATATATATATATATATATATATATATATATATATATATATATATATACACGTAAGTTACTAAAATTTTACACGTTTAAAAAAAGGATTCAATATGAATAATAGAGGAACAATAGTCCGAATAATTAAAAACTCAAAAACTTATCTATTATTCAAAAGTCTTGAGTTCAAATTTACTTCCAAGTTTTTACATTCACTTACACGCAAATACCATTGGGAAAGTTATTGTTAAATGAGTAAGATTTAAATAAACCAATGAAAGAGGAGTTCACGTTCTGAAAGAATATGATAGATAAAAGAAGAAGGTTGTGAATAATCGAACGTGTCAAAAGTGGGTTGCGGAGTTTTGGTAGTGAGTAATGTAGTCTAACCTCTGTTCTAAGATAGGGAAGATACGAGTCAATTGACCTTTTTTTAATTAAAAAAAAAGACAAATAATTGTTCTAGAGAGACCAGTGTTGTTTCGTAGCGGGCTGGCGCAATGTTTTAGGGGTCTTAACTATATTGCTTTAAAGTGCTTCGTTGTGGGTGCAAGAGTGAGTTATTCTAATACTGTGTGCGTCTTACATTGGCACCTGGTTGCAGACTAGTTATGCTGAAATTCCGCCTTGACACCATACCGTGAAGCAAATGATATTAAATTGTTTCGCAAGTTTCGCTACTTCAAAATTGTATCGACTCATACTATTGTGGTAAAAAGAAACAAAAATAATGATAGGATAAATTTAATAATAATAATAATAAAAATTGATTGATTTGTTTTTATTAAGGTTTATCAACCTTTTGTAGGTTTACACTCCTCGGTCTTTTGAACAGGAGTAGAGGTTTATCCCTTGTTTCTTGCTTATTATGATTGCGATTCCTTCTAAAGTCTTTTCATTCTCTTTTACTTCCAGTAGCTCCTTTTGTCTTAGTGACATTGTCACCTTGCTTGGGGTGAATTGATTAAAAACAAAATTTAAAGCTAGAAAAAAAAAATTGAGACTGTAAGAATTTGGGGGAGATAATAATGATTTACTGATAAAAGTGGCACTAATTAACCCATATCTGGGAGGAGATGAGATGGAACCATATCTTTAGCAAACGAACCCGACTGGAATTGAACCTCGGTTCTCCGATTTACAGTTCCGGTCCGTTATCTATTACATCAAGTGTGTCAAACTGGCGACCTGCGGACTTCATGCGGCCTTTTACATGCATCATGGTGGCCCTTACAAAGGTTTCTATAGCCGTGGTATATCAAGAATTCTTGTTGAAAGTACCTAGAAGTAGGGCGTACCCGAATTTTTTTTCTTATCTTCCTCAGACATTTAAGAACTTTAGAAAGTTTGCCACAAAGATTATGCCATGGCGATGTTTGGTTCCACATATGTCTGTGAGCAGTTATTTTCCTTTATGAAAGCCACAAAAATGTCTCACAGAACCTAATTAACTGATGAACATTTGTTATCTTTGATCAAAGTGGGGTCGACACGGGCATTCCAACCTGATATATTGAGAATAGTTCGTCTAAAGCGATGTTACTCATCAGGACAATATAAAAAATGACTAAATTGCACTACCATGTATTGTAAGTATTTTGTATTTAAAGTTTAGTTACTACTAGCTGTGATTAATGTAAGACTGTAAGCAAATACAGCCATTGAGGCTGCAGATATGGCCGATGCGGCCCTCCATATGCACTGAGTTTGATATGCCTTTATTACACCAGCACCTGGTATTTTCAAATGGTCCACCATGTAGGCAATGAATGATCAGGCTCGACGTTGCTTAACTTTGGTGATCATACGAGAATCGGTGTTTCAACGTGATAGAGCCATACGTTCTTTATACCAATCGCATATCACAGCTTACAACGCGTGTTATTACCAAGCTGTCACCCATCTAAGCATTGACCAGGCTCGATGTTACTTAACTTCGGTGATCGTACGAGAACCGGTGATTCAGCGTTATATGACCGTAAGCCAATAATAACGAAGAATGCATTGACCCACAGTGATGCGAGAGAAAACAACAACAACAACAACAACAAAATAGATTAAACTAGGAATAAAAAAAAACACATCAAGCTAGAGTGCAGTGACAAAAAGCAACAATAAGATCGTTTAAAACAAGTAATAAAGAAATATTAATAATGAAGTCTGGAGAAACGCAGCCTGTTGTCATAAAAGCAACAATAAGAAGAAAATGCGTATTGACCCAGAGTATTGTGAGGAAATGCAAAAATAAACTGTCGACTGACTATTAATAAATTATAGTAAGAACGAATAATGCATTTTTAAATCATTTCACCTCAAGCAATGTAATAAAGACACTAAGATACAAGGGGTTAGAGTCTTCGAGATGATGAGAAAAAAAGAAGCACTGACGGGGAGAAAACAATAAAAGAATAGGAATTAAGAAGACAGAAGATAAAAATTAACATTACATTTAAATTGTTAAAACATCTGAGTTGACCGCCAAGCAAGAACCCGAAAGAGAGTTCCATAAGTGAGACGTGCGATAGAAAAAAAAAACTGTTAGCATAGAACTTACGGTTACATCTAGCCATTTCAAATGTAAATTGATGAGACCTTGCCGCCAATCTAGTACTAAATTTAAATTCATAAAGTCTAGGTACCATAACGAAGAGTTCGTCCAAACAATTGCCATGGAAGTATTTATAGAAAAGGAACAGGAAAACTACGTTATGGTAGTCGGAATTTGAATGAAGCCAAGATGCCATTTCAGGACCAACAAAATTGCAGATACTTTGGATTTTATCAAGAATTTCTAAATATATAGCAGGAGCACCAGGCCAGATGTGGCAGTAATGTTCAATGCCTAAACGAATGTTAATCTTATAAATCCAGATATTGATCAAGAATAATGCGAAAAAAATCAACAACGACAAAGAATAAAGATAATGACATAATACTATTAATGAAGGATGGATCGATCAAAGGCGGGTGATGAAAGCAATAATAATATGATAGAGAATGACTAACGTTAAAATTTTAGTAATGATGAACAATGTATTGATCTATAGCACCGGCGGTGAAATTAGGCTTGATCACCGGAGTTAAGAAGATTCGATCCCGGTCAGTATATAGATGGGACACGGCTTCGGAACAACGGGTACTACAACCCCACCCCAAACACAAAAATCCTCCAATCTGAAATATATTTTGGCTTATTAAGGTTAATAAGTATGACAAAAAGACAAATCAATCGAGTGTTGTGATAAAAATGTAGTATTAATTTTTCTTCGCTTCTATGTGGTGTGTAACTTCAGAATCCTACGCGATCATGGCTCTCCACACTTTCCTGTCCTTCGTATCTCTTGTCCGTCGGTTACTCAATGTTTTCCTCTGTTCTTCTTGCCTTCAATATGTCCTGTGAGTATCAAATTTTCCAAGTCCTCTTTCCTCATTATGTGCACCAGAAATTTCAATTGTTCCTTCCTGATATTAATTCTAAGTGTCCTCTTTGTTTCCAATTTTCTCTAAACTTTCGTCGTTGTTCCCATGTCTCGTCCATTGTATTCTCAGCATCCTTCTCTTGAATCACATTTCTGTTTCTTCAAGTCTCTTGTTCATTTTTGAGGAGGTTGTCCAGCATTCACTGAGATATAGCAGAACTGATATCACGTAAGAGTTCATTACTCTTATCTTTGTTTCTAACGAATTTTTCCTGTTTCTTAATAGTTTGATTAACTTTTGGAAGGCATCTTTCGCTATCTCAATACGCCTTCGAATATCGTTGTCGCATTTTCCGTCCTCTGTTAAAACGCTTCCCGGGTAGGTAAGTGTTTGTATTTGTTTGATTTTGGTATCTCTAATTTGTAATTTGCATATTTTTTTATTTCAAAATTTGATGTCAATATCTGCAATACACCGAAGGTATCAAATATTATGGTGAAGGGTATTCCAATAACTTGGACCAATTTTAAATGTGAATTACGTTTAAGCGTCTAATGATTTTGTTGTGGATTCCGAGATGAATTCGGTCTCCAAGGAATGACAAACGCAATAATTAAATATAAGAAATAAAATGAATTTACACAATCATACAAAGAGTAATACTGTTAGTAAGTCCAGGAACGAGGTTAGTAGGAAATACAGATAGATCTATACAGTCTCGAAGTAGGACTTCCTTAGAGTCTACGTGCTTGTAACTGACTTCTACGCGAGGTTAACTCACTCTATCTCCGTTTGTATATTCTCTCACTATCCGTATATCCTCTCACTATCCGACTACCCTCACTGACTGTCTAACTCTGGGTATTTAACGGCAGCAGTCCAAGTAACACTTGGTAGAGTCCACTTATATAGAAAAAGGGGTGGACCCCATAACAGATTTTTTTTTCTTTTTCTTTCAGATTTAACAACTTAAGTCTTTGGCAATTTCAGCCATGAAAAGATTAATAATCAAACAACGTGTTAAAGTTATCGAAGCCTGTTACGAAAATAGACGTTTAAACAGAATTTGAATGAGAAGTTCCCAGGTCACATCATATCTCGAAACAGCGAAGTCAATTGGCCACCACGATCGTGTGACTTGACGCCTTTAGATTTCTTCTTTTGGGGTCATCTCAAAAGTAAGGTCTATGTCAACAAGCCAATAACAATTCAACAGCTGACGGATGAGATAATAAGGCATATTGGTGAGATCGAGGCGCAACTATGCAGAGACGTCATCAAAAATTTTAACCATCGAGTGGAGGTGTTCTGCTGAAACCTTGGCGGACATTTGTGCGATACTATTTTTCCCACATAATTTCATGACTTAAATAACATGATCCAATAGAGAAATAAACAATTTTTCACCAATAATAACTTATTTATTTACTGCTTTGATCCGTCTTAATGAAATACATATATGGTTTTGAAAATGACGGAACACATTCTTCTTCAGAAAGATTCAATGGAATGACCATGTGGGGTTAACCAACTTGCGATTGGATACCCGGATTGGACACCACGTGCCTGCCTAGATAAAACAGGGCGGAGCTAGTAACAGTAATAGCAAAACTCAGTTTGTGAGTCAGTGATTGGACTTTATTTGATTAATAACACGGGCTGCGCTTCCGAATATATTGATACGGCCTTTAGGGTGCTGCACAAGGCTCGGTCGGTAAAACATTTACGGTTTTTGAAGGCTGTTGATATCAAGCGTCATTGACCGACTTTGGCCAGGCAGAAAGAGAACATTCTTCGTTCTGTCTCATGGGGTGGGGGTGAGTAATTCTTTTTATGTTTTATACGTACGAGAGGCTTATTTATACCGATTTGTTTGTTTTTAAGTAATAAATTCATTCAACTGCTGGCTTCTCATTTACCCACCTTGTTCACCTTTTTAATTCCGCCGTATTGATTATTGGATTTCCAACGAAACTTTCTCAAGAATTGTTGGACGAAAAAGGTCCCTTTAAAAGAATGCGTTTCGTCATTTCTAAAGCCATATTTAAATTCTGTGGTACAAAATTTATATATATATATATATATATATATATTCGCCCCAAGCAAGTAATGCTACTGAGACGTAAGTGGTTACTGATAGAGAAAGAAAATGGGTATTCTCTAATCAAGTTTAAGGAATCAAGGTTGTTCTAGGTTAAATCTATTTTCTTTTTTAAAATTCATCCTATAGGTGTAGTTTAAACCTCTGCAGAAGGGTAAAACGACCCCAAAAGGGATCACCTTCACAGATGGATATTTGCAGAATTGAGTATAAACAAGTCTTATATCTGACTTTTTTGCTCTCGTGTAAACCGGATCTATGTCTAGATTTTACCCTCGTGTAACCGGGAGTAGTGATATATATATATATATATATATATATATATATATATATATATATATATATTTATTTATTTAAAAATATGATTCCTTCGCTACATAAGAGTATGTAGCAGAAGGAATCAAATTTTTAAATAAATAATTATATTTAAACTCTACTTTTGTAACGAGCACTGTATTTCTAAAAAAATAATACTAAAGAACTTTGGATTATTTACCTAACGACTTCTTTCCTGTTTTCTATATATTTTCACACACACACACACAGACACACACAGACACACACACACACACATATATATATATATATATATATATATATATATATATATTTTTGATAGATGTGAGTTTGTGACCTTGGGTTTTCACGCTCTGACGATCGCTAAAGCGTGAAACCCAGGGTCAAAAATATCACATCTATCCAACCAAATATGTTAGCTCTATCTCTGATATTGAGCGCTTTCTAATAAGTACCGCGCATATAATATATAGATAATTATACATACTTATATTTATTTATATTTATATACACTTTTCACACACACACACACACACACACACACACACACACACACACACACACACACACACACACACACACATATATATATATAAAATTTATTTATTAACAATGCCTCCCACTCCTAGCTTGGGATTTCTTTAAAGCTCATAAAAAGGAGACAAATAAAGGGAAAGCTAATGATCTAAAAACTCAGGCCTTTAATGTGTGGTGACTGAATCAACTGGATCCAGTAGGAAGATTTTGCTTTGACCAATACTGAACGAAAGAAAAGACACTTGCTTAGGTGTTCATGAAGGTGAAAAATTCGTGGGGAAAATAAGTGATATAATGATTATTTAGGTTGGTTTGGTTGATTAGTTTTCTACGGTTTATCAAACGTATGCAGTTATTTAAAGCCAGAAAATATTTTTAGATTATAAGGCTGAGGTTGGTGATGACAGTGGTCATTTACATCGGATGTACCGAGGATTCTTTAAGAATCGCTGGCACAACCATGTTTCATCGTTTAGGTTGCAGAAGCGCTGGTATAATATGAGACTGGCGGACCATGTCTGGAAAACGAAAGAAGAACATGGTAAGAATCCGAGTATAAAGTGGAGCATTTTGAGGAGAATAAGATCTGGTAGGTTGTGTCAAGAGGAGAAGTTGGCGATAGCTACGCTTCAGAATAGTGCGGTGTTGTTGAACGGGAGAACGGAAAGAAATATAAAGGGGGGACAGGCCGCCTCCCTTAAAGTAAGGCTTCAAGAACACCAAAAAGCTGTAAAACGAGGGGAAGTGGAAAAATCATGCGTGGCTGACCAGATATGGGGAGAAAAGGGAGATCACCGCCCTCTGTTGTATCAGGTTGAAATCATAGACAAAGAACATCATGCTAGGCCACAAATATCTCCTGAGCCGACCAAGCATTGAAATGAATACAATATGGGTACCAGTAATAAGGAGTGCCAGAGAAAAGCAATAATAACAACGAAAATTGCAATATGAGCTCTGCTAAAAATGCAATGATAACAGCAAAAGTTGCAATATGAACACTGGTAAAAATGGTTGCTGAAGACGTTAAGTTTATAAGTCCCAGAAATTCATATACATAAGGACACATGGCACAGTGGACAAAGGCGTTGGTTAGATCCAGTGACAGGAACCAAAGAATAGTGAGTTCAATACCTGTTTAAGGCAGTAGAGAACTTGGAGAGGTGAATTAACAGGTGATAGCTGATAACTGATATCCATTAGACATGGCACGTGGAACTAGAACAATCTACCCCAACGAGCGAAATAAAGGGTTTGGTTCGTCATTTCAACCACCTGAAGAAGGCCGGAGCGTACAACGGCCGAAACGTTGTGATAAATATGGCAACAAAGAATAGTCCGAATAATGTAAATAGTGTACATAATACCTCATCTCAGAAATATAGACAGAGAACTGAGAGTAGGGAAAATGTTAACTGGTTGGCAAGAACGTTCTTGGCCTTTACGAAGCCCGGATGAAGAATTGAATTCTTGAATTCCGGAACCGTAGCATTTTAGAACACTTATTACCTATCCACCTGACGAGACCTAGTGTACTAGCCTATAGTTGGCTTGTTTTGTTTTACGGCATTACACATTTTTTATTGTTGGTAATATTTTTTTTCAAAAGTCTATTTCTGGTAATTCTGGTAATATTTTTCCTTCAAAAAATCTATTTCTGGTAATATTTTTCCTTCAAAAAATCTATTTCTGGTAATAATTTCCCTTCAATTATGTATAGCTAGTAATATTTTTTTTTAAAAAAATGCATAGCAGGTAATTTTTTTTTCCCAAAAATGTATGACAGGTAATTTTTTCTTCAAAAAATGTATAACAGGTAATTTTTTTTCAAAAATGCATTCCTGGTAATAATTTTCTTACAAAAATGTTTTTCTGGTATTAAAACCTATTTTACACGTTTTGACCCCAGTTTCGGGTGTTAACTATTTGCCCATAGCTGGGTACTGGTAACCTAGAATAACTGAGCAGTGCTATTAACTAGCAATTAAGAAATGGTTCCATGCTCCTCAAAACCTCCTGATCAGAGACCTTGCAGTTGGATGTAGTTTATCGTCATACCCAGGACACTAAGATATGTTTTACCATTTTTATTGTATTAACTTGCTCTGCATGTTTGTTTTTCTGACCACTGTATTGAGCACTTCCTTATATGTCCGTTTTTTGGAGCACAGTAATTTTCCCAGCTTTTTCAGATATATTTTGCGTTTTATATATATATATATATATATATATATACACAAAAATGAAAATAACACTGACATCACACTTTAACAGATATATTTAATAAAATTACACAAAATATCTTATAGGTAAATGTGAATATAACGAACCCAACGGGAATTGAAACCTGGCTCTCCGATTTATAATTCCGTGTCATTATCCATTATACCATCCGCACATCCACATTTACAGTACCTGGTATTCCCAAGCGGTCATCCATCTAGGTCTTGACCAGGCTCAACGTTGCTTAATTTTAGTGATCGTACGGTAACCGGTGCTTCAACTTGGTATGACCGTAAACTCGATATTGTGATTAAATCATTATGATCCTAATATTGGACCCAATGATCAAATATCTGATTCATTTCCAAGTGATACTGATTCTTTTAAGTTTTGAAAAAAATTATATAACAATAAGCCTTTTTTTATGTTTTTTCATTATTTTATTTTGATGTTTTGAGCATTTTTTGTGTAATAATATGTACCCATTTTTTAAAATATCATATTGAATATCATATTAAATATCATATTTTTTAAATATCATATTGTTCAACAAAATTTTAAAAATACGGCGAGTTTTTTTTCTAAAATATTTGACGTAAAAATAAAAAGGCGCCATATATTCCAAGAAATGCAGCATATTTCTATACATAGGGACCATTTCCGTCCAAATGTATTTTTATAATACTTTTTCAAACAAAATCTATAGTTTTACAAGATTAACATCACCTTTATTTGATTAATGCACATTGAATGCTTTAGTAACTATCTAAAAATTTACTCATTTTTAATGAATGTTTATCCCAAATGTCAGTTCATTACTCTATCACATTTAAATAATCAATTTGGCTCAGAAATAAGCAATAAATGTTCAGCAAAATTTAAACTTGGATCTCTTATGTCTAGAATCCTAACTTGCCAGCGCCCTTAAAAATATCCGCTCAAACTTGTAACTATATAACTTCATCTCTCCCCACTCCAATCATTTCTACGCCTCTGTCGTGTTTGTTTATTATTTATCCTCGTAATATCAGTTTAAGAATTTCTTAGATGAAATGTCGTTATTGTTAGTAATTGTTGACAAGTTTCTTTTTACTTTAATGTTCTATTTCTCTTCTTTGTTTACACCTGATATTAGAAGTTGTATCGCTTTCTTAAACTATTGCAATTATTATTACATTTTGACAAGTCTTTGTTTTTGTCCCATTTTTGTTGCTTGTTTGCACCTAATACTAGAATTTTTATTGCTATTAAGATGACGGAATTTCTTAAATTAAGTATTGTCATCATTTTTGACAAATCTTTCTATCGTCTTATTTTTTTGTTGTTGTCACTTTTTATTGAAATTCTCAGGTCTAATTTTACTCGCGTTTTTATCAGATGCGCTATAAGGTCGCAAACAGAGACATGTTTCTATCATGTTGTCTGTCATCTTTTGGTTATAATTTACCTTTGATCTTTCGGGATACAAAGCAGAATGACGTTTTTGACTGATTACGCCTCATATACGAAATAACAGGGAATTGTTTAAAAAGATCTCTTGCAAAAAAAGAAACTCTTATTTCAGTACTAGTTAATGTGGAAATGTTGATAGTAAGTATTTTTTGTGTTAGTAATTTTTGTAATATACCTACTGACGATAATGGGTATGTCCACATTTACATAAATGCACTAGTAAATACTGTATGTTGGTCTGCAGTCGGAGATGCATCTCCAGCTGTGGTGATCAAACTCTCCGCCTCCGGGCATAGAGGGTCTCCAGACGTATCTATGTCGAAGGGAAGATTCTCGTCTCAGGAAACAGCTACCCGAAGGCTTTTATATGGGGTATACGGGGAATTTTTGGCCGGGACTACAGGCTCGGATTTCCCCACATTAAATTCGGCTTCGTGCCACATCTGATCGCGTGGGGCGGTTGGTAGATATTCTTCAGGTGGAGATTTATCTCCAGCTGTGCTGGTCAAACTCTCTGCCTCCATGCAGAGAGGGTCCCCAGACATGTCTATGTCGAAGGGCAGATTCTCGTCTCAGGAAACAGCTACCCGAACCCTTTTTAAACGGGATCTACTGGGAATTTTTGGCCGAGCCTACTGGCTCGGATACCCCACATTAAATTCGGCCTTGTGCCACATCTGACCGCGTGGGGGCAGTTGAAGATTCATTGTGGAATTCAATTGCCTCACATCTAGCAGTTGACTACTACTTCTAAGCGTTGTGTTGTTTTTGTCCTTAGTATTATCGTTCATTACCAAGCTTCGAGTGGTTATTCTCTTCAGTAACCTTCCCTAGGTTACAATACCCTTTGAACCCTGCGTTCTTGAACAATTTTAACCCTGAGGTCATGAGTCAAAATTTGCAAATAATTGTTATGTAATGTTTCATGGTAGATATAAAAATAGTTACAAGTGTTTACCCACCGTTCAACCGGTAGCTGCGCATTAAGTCATTTTTATCTACCACCGGTAAAGCGATGGTCAAGGCTCAAAAGGTTAATGTTTTTGTTTTACATCAATTAGAGTTGTGGAAAAAATATCCCCAGCGTAGGCCATTCTGTGTTCATTTATCCTATCTCCTGTACGTAATTTGTTATAACTGATTCAGACACCGATGCATCTTGAGTCCTACTTAATCCTTAACGGAATATTTGTTAGAGACTTGAATTTGTTTCATTTATTGTTCATGATTAAGAGAAAACAGACAATTATGTATGTGAAATAATATTAATACCATATTTCTTTCAGAGCAAGCAACAACATTTTTAGTCAAATATATTAGTGGACATTTTGAAAATCTACTTAGTTTGTCAGATGGCCGCTAGAGTGGGACAGCTAGTAAGTATTTCAGTAACAAAGCTCTGCAAAATTAACTATTGATTCATACCGAGAAACTCCCAGGCATGCGACATCTGCTGCAACAGAAACTGACGCCTCTAACAAAGCCTTCATTCGATAATAAACATTGGTTTCAGGCCATGTTTCGGTGTCAAAATACTATTATTGCTAATCCAGAGCTCCCCAGCAGTCCTAAGCTGCGTTGGTTCTCGGTCATATTGGGATTTAGAAAGAGATGCAGACTCTAGCCCAATCTTGATTCCTGTCTTCTTTGATATCAACGTGATATGGCCGTAAGCTCTTTATACCAGTCGCACATCACAGCTTACAAGACCTAGTATTCCAAAGTGGTCACCCATCCAGACACTGACCAAACTCGACGATACTTAAATTCGGTGATCGTACGGAAACCGGAGTTTCAACGTGATGTGGCCGTAAACTCTACAATTCTATAGTAAAAACATGTGAATCGTAAATTATTTGGATCTGATTGATTTCATTTTGACGGCTTATCAATCTTTTACAGGTTATTTAAAGCCGGAAAATATTTTTAGATTGTAAGAATTTGGGGGAGATAATGAGTTACTGATAAAAGTCCTGCTAATTAGCCCATAACTAGTGGCAGTACAAGAGGTATTTGCGCGTAAGTGTATTTAACGAACCCAACTGGAATTGGAACTCGGTTATCCAATTAACAATTTGGAGAGACTATCAATTACACCACCCGCACATCCAATCTTACAGCACCTGATATTTCCCACTTAAGGAATACGAATAATTTATAATTTACGAAAACTAAAATTAATTCTTATATACGAACACTTGGATTTATTTTAGTTTGTTGGTCGAAGTTAAAATAAAAGATCTAACGTTGCTAGAGTAGTCTGGACAGGACGCATCAAGTGGATCAGAGAGCTGCCGTCAACAGGAGCCATCGCACTAGGTTTCTAGGTATAGCGATATAACTACGGTTGTTTGTCTGGTGGTTAGGTTAGTTGTTTTGAATTTGCAGTATACCAAATGCTAAGACGGTCTCTTCATGAGGGTATAGGAGAGAAGCGTTATGGATGTAGCTTGAGAGCTGAGTTTGCGACAGCTAGAAAATATTTGGGAATCACTAGACTATAATAAACATTAGTCATATTGAAGTAAGGTAAATAACCTTCAGTTGGTTATTCGTCTCCATCTATGCTGGTCAAACTTTCTGTCCCCGGGCAGAGGGGATTCCCAGACGAGGCTATGTCGGAGGGCAGAGCTCATTAGTCAAACATACATTAATATAGTCTGGCACAAGGTTCCAAATATAGTTTGGTTGATTTTGTTTAGCACTCTCTATGCGTTATTTAATGCCGAAATCGAAATATTTTGTACACAATTTTATGGTTTCATCTAAATATATTCTGTATTGTATGCCTTCAATTATATATTTGTACATAATCTTATAACTGTCCTGGGTATGACGATAAACTACCTCTGCGTCCTGGGTAAGACAATAAACTACGTCCAACAGGAAGAGCTCTGATCAGGAGGTTTTGAGGATCGTGGAACCACTTCCTAATTGCTGGTGTTCCCTGATCCACCCTGACCTTTGGTGGTAGCACCTGTTAGGGTCCCCGCTATGGGCAATTAGTTAACCCCCCAAACTGGGGTCAAAACACTATGAAAGTGTAAAAATAGGTTTTAATACCAGAAATACTTTGTAAAAAATTATTACCAGCAATACATTTTGGAAAAAAAAAAATTACCAGCGATACATTTTTGAAGAAAAAATATTACCAGAAATAAATTTTTGAAGGAAAAAATATTACCAGCAATCAATTTTTGAAAAAAAATAAAAATTTTGTCGGATATAAATAAACCATTGAGGTTGATTTGCCATAAAACAAACTGAACCAAACCATAATCTTATACTTTCCGTAAATTAAGGACATTGCTGCCTCAATTCCAGAACAATTTTCTCATTAATTGTAGAACTAATACAAGATTATTTCCTAATTCTTTAGCAGAATCCTTGTGTATTGCTACTCGTTCTTAAAGAAAGTCATAGAAGGTGTTGACGAACGTTGAGAGAATCATGTGCGACTGTGTTATTATTTAAGAAAAAAAAATGCACGTTTACACAGAATACGTGTTAACAACTGCTTAACTGTCAATGGAACATGCTTAAATAGATTCTGAACATTATAAATCCTCACCAGAATTTAGAAAGAGAAAATAGTGTTTGTAAGTTTTTAGTTGGTTGATTTTGTATAGCGGCATATCAGCATCTCTATGGGTTATGTAATGCTGAAATCGAAATATTTTGTACGCAATTTTATGGCTTCAGCTACAGATAAAATATATTGTTAGTCATGTTGGTATAAAATGTATTGTTAGTAATTCTTCTATAAAATTGTATTGCTGGTCATTTTGCTTTCAAATGTATTTCTGGTAATTTTACAATAAAAATGCATTTTTATACTTTCATAGTGTTTTGGTTTTGGGGAGTTCACTATTTGGTCACAGCTGGGACCCTAACAGGTACTACCACACCGGGTTAGTGTGGAGCTGGGAACAACAGCAATTAAGAGGTGGTTCCACACTCCTGAAAACCTCCAATCTACCAATCAGAGACCTTGCTGCCGGATGTAGTTTATCATCATACCCAGGAAAGTCTGCACAAATATATAACAGCTACTGAAGATAATAATGCCCAACGAAACTAGTTTTCTATTTCCTTCAAACAAGGCATCTTTATTAGTATTTAAAAGTCTTAAAAAGCTCAGAGATAGGATACTTAGACAGAACCGAACACTCGGCAAGGTGTTCAAAGTAGGTATTTACTAAGCTCAGCTTAGTCTACAACTAGGCTATACGTGTGCGGTAACGTATAAGAATTGATCATGCTAAATTAGTCATGATTTACGAGACAGGCTCGTTAACCATTACTACATGACGAGGTGCCCTTATTAGGTTTAATAATCTTGAAAGTAATTTAGAACAGCTTATGAGGTTCGAAATGTTGACAATGGTTTATGAAACTAGCTCGTTAACCATTACTCCGCGATGAGGCGTCTTTGCTAAGTTTAGCACAATAGGAGAGTAGGACTCATTATAGTAATAATGATCTATGAAACTTGCTAATGTTTCCGGCTAGTGTACCCGACTCAAATATCAGATTTTTACTTAAAAAATGCCATAGCCTTTCCTGATCAAATATATATATATAATATATATATATAATATATATATATATATATATATATATATATATATATATATATATATATATATATATATATATATATATATATATATATATATATATATATATATATATATATATATATATATATATATATATATATATATATATATATATATATATATATATATATATATATACATATATAATATATATATAATATATATATAATATATATATATATATATATATATATATATATATATATATATATATATATATATATATATATAATATATATATATATATAATATATATAATATATATATAATATATATATATGAAAGGAAAATCAAATTAAGAACTTTTTTTACATTTAAAAATACTAGCTGGTCAAAAGTTTAAGACCATATTTAAAAGAAGCTTTTATTGATAAACGTGTCATTTATGTTCAGGCATATGTGCAGTCAACATCTTCCACTGGTATATCCTGTCTTACATTAAGTAAAAACATGGCAATGGTTAAAAAGTGAAACTGCAAAAGCAAGGTCTCTCATTGTGCCATTGTTGGTGAGATTGGACATAAGAAATTTGCAACAGCAGTTTTACTAAGACCCTGTGGTATATGGAACAGGGACTTAAAGTGGTCAGCCACCCCAAAATGTCATCAGCATTGAAGCAGGAGTTTTTGACAGGTTGTCCAGCAAGTCATCGGCTGATCATCGATCCAGATTAAGTCCCTTACAGACACAGTATTCAGCTCAATAACAATAGGACAACATATCCAAGAGAAGGGCTTTAAAAACCATAAACTTCTTCAAAGTCCATGCTGCCTTCTACACTAGAAAACAGCTCAGTTAAACTTTACTGAGAACTGCTAAGCATCAAGGAAAAATGGAATAAGCTTTTTACTTTTAGGTTATCTGTGAAATAGGACGAAGGCTAGAGTTGTTTGTTATTGATTTGTCCCCGGTTTTAAATTCAAAGTAATTCTTCTCCTAGGCTGGTTGCCATATAATACTAGTCAGTCCGATCTAATCTACAATTTAACAGAAATAGAGAGCAGGGCATTTATATATATTCATCAACATTTACGTGACGTGTGTCTCTCCAGGACGTGTGGAACTCCTCTAACTCCTTTTCCCTTGTAGTTCTAAGCAATATTCGATTCTTTACTATCTTTTCTGTCATCCTTAGGTGCTGCTTGCTGTTTAGTTCTACTTCTTTCCATACCCCCTGTGAGTACTAAGTTTGCCAAACCGTCTTTTCTCATTATATGTCACGGAAGTTTCAACGGTCTCTTTCTGATTTTAAGTCTTTCTAGCTCTCGCCACAACTTTCATTGCTTTAAAATCTGTAAAATGTGGTAATGGAGAGGGTTTCCATTGCCTTCTCTACGGCTTGGAAGTCAGATATTTTTCTGACTGATTGCTATTCAAGTAGACAGACCAGTCTACGCTGCTATTAAACTAGCTGCTTTGGTGGTGGTGTACAAGAGACCGATTCGTGTCTTTCTCAAGGTCGTTAGTGCAAAAATGAATGAACAGACTAGATTGGAATTTGAAATCAACTCGCCAATGCAACTTTCAGCGCCGATAACCGCTACACTAACTACACATTTTGCATACGTTTTTTTTTACAGTAAGGTTAATCTTATACAAGGCTAGCAGGGTACTCGAGATAGAGGGTTACTTTATGTTATGTAGTGGTTTCACAGTGGAGGCTTGTATTTGTACTAAGTCGGTCCTAAAATAGGTTCGACGTACAAAACGTTAGGAACTTGATATAATAGGTAATGACGCAGAGAAATCTAGTTGTGGTCACTGATACTTTAGTATCCGACTAACGGTCGTCCGGCATCGACTGATTGACCAACTCACTTCGACTATATTTAGTCACCCCCCACCACCACCATGAGGGCATCATGTGGCACAAAGCCGGTTTAACGTGGGATCTCCGAGTCCGTGGACCCGGCCAAAAATATGCCCATTGAACCCGTATAAACGGGTTCAGGGTTGGTTTACCTCCCCGAAAGAGAATCCGCCTTTCGGCGTAGCCTCCTTCTGGTTCCTCCCCGCCCGAAGGCAGAGACCAACTCACACCGACTGACTTGTTACTCTTACTACTACTTATTATAGGTGGGAGAGTCTATTAACTATAGAATAGGTGTGTTCCACTATAACACTTTAAGAGGTAGTTTATATAGATATGAGGGGGACGATAACGGTTAACTCTAGACTTGAACAGATTGTA